GGAGGGAGGGAGGAAGAAAGGAAGGAAGGAAGGAAGGAAGGAAGGAAGGAAGGAAGGAAGGAAGGAAGGAAGGAAGGAAGGAAGGAAGGAAGGAGAAAGGAAGTAAGGAAGGAGAGAGAGAGAAAGAAAAAGGACAGAAGGAAGAAAAAAATAAAGGAAGGAAGGAAGGAGAGAAAAAGAAAAGGGACAGAAGGAAGAAAAAAAATAAAGGAAGGAAGGAAAATAAAGAAAGAAAAAGGAGGAGGAAGAAAAAGAAAGAAGAAGAAGAAGAAGAAGAAAAAGAAAGAAGGAAGAAAAAGAAAGGAAGAAAAGGAAAGAAGAAAACGGGAATAGAAAGAAAGAAAGAAAGAAAGAAAGAAAGAAAGAAAGAAAGAAAGAGTCCCTCCCTCCCTCCCAGAAGTTTTGGGGCCTTACTTCAGAACTGAAGTCCACGCAGAAGAGAGGGGAAGGAGAGGACGGAGAGGGTGTGGCTGCAGGAAGAGTGGAAGTTGCCACCAGGGGTACTTTGGGGACGTGGCAAGGAGCCCACTGCTCCGGCTTCTTCCTGAGAGGCTCCTCGTAGGCAGGCTTCAGATGTCCACAAGGTTCCTACAAGGAAGATCAAAAGGGTGTGTGGGGGTCTCTGAAGGCCAAGTGACCCCCGGACAACTTGCTCCAAGGGCGCATTGCATTGATTGATTGATTTAGGGAATGCATCTCCTGCCCAACGACTCAAGCATGTAACTCCTGGTCTAACGACCGCCGCCAAGGCTACCAGAACTGGTGTCACTGAGCAGGGCAGTCATGGGATGCTCTACCTGATGACTGCTTCGCTTGGCAATGGAAATCTTGATGCCAGCTGGGGTCGTTAAACAAGGACTGCTTGGGTGGGCTCCAAAACACCCACCAAGCTCCCTGCAGGAGGACGAAAGGCCTGACCCAGAGGAACCAGGTGATCACAAAGGAAGGAACAAAGCAAAGCACATGCATCCCCCTCCCTCCCTCCCTCTTCCAAACCTTTTGAGTTTCCCTCAGTCCAGTTCACAATCCGACCCACGCACGGATTTGCTATCAGGGTACACGTTAAGTGAACAGCAAAAACCTACCACTGCTCCTCAAAAGAACAATAATAGGAAGAGTAGCAACAGCACTTAAGACTTCTATGCCGCTTCACAGGGTTTTACAGCCCTCTCTAAGCCGTTTATAGAGTTATCCTCTTGCCCCCAACAATCTGGGTCCTCACTTTACCCACTTCAGGAGGGCAGAAGGCTGAGTCAACCTTGAGCCAATCAGGATCGAACTGCTGGCAGTTGGCAGAGTTAGTCTGTAATACTGCATTCTAACCACTGCACCTCCACGGCTCTTAGATATAGAGATTATAGAGATGATAGGTAGGTAGGTAGGTAGGCAGGCAGGCAGACAGACAGACCGACAGATAGAGGCAGGGTCCAGGCATAGAGATAGATAGCAATAGCACTTATATGCCGCTTCCCAGCGCTTTACAGTCCTCTCTAAGCGGTTTACACAGTCAGCCTCTTGCCCCCAACAATCTGGGTCCTCGTTTTACCCACCTTGGAAGGATGGAAGGCTGAGTCCACCTTGAGCCTGGTGAGATTTGAACTGCCTCATTGCCGGCAGCTGACAAGTAGCCTGCAGAAGTAGCTTGCAGTACTGCATTTTAACCCCTGTGCCACCAGAGTAGAATCTGAGCCGTCATCTAAGGCAGGGGCCTGCAAACTGGGCAAGCTTTAGGACTTGTGGACTTCAACTCCCAGGATTCCTCAGCCAGATGAAGTCCACAAGTCCTAAAGTTTGCCCAGTTTGCAGGCCCCTGATTTAAAGGAAACAAAACTGACGGCAGTGCAAAGCTCAGAATCTGTTGGAAAACCAGGCAAGAGGGCTACCTTCGCAGGATCAAGACTGGGGGCAGCCTAGCTAACCTTTGGAGCACCTACCCTTGCCCAAGCCACGGCCCTCTGCTCTGCTGGCACCTGGCAGGGCACCGAACAGTAGCTGTCCAAAGAGCCGTATCTTTCCCGCAGGAAGTTGTGATAGACGGAGGGGTGGGCGACTTCCATGGGAGGTAAGGAGTTGCTCCGGATGAGGTCGTCCCTCTGGTACATCAGCGGTCGCCAAATACGCCGGCTGTCATAAACCGGAGCGTACATCCCAGAAGGAACTGGCGGCACCGGCCCGTAGGGCTGCGGTTGGGCCTGTTGGTAAGCGGAAGTGAGTCTGTCCCGAGCAGGAAAGGTGCTGTAATGTTCGCTGTACTGCAGGGAGGCCGGCGGTAGAGGGGATTCTGAGACGTTGCTGGACCTCACAAAGCGAGGGAGGCATGGCGGCACAGCTGCGGCGACCGCCGGGGGGCCTGGATAGTATCCTACAGAAGGAAATACAAAGTTGTTGTTTTTTTTAAAAAAAAATTATTTTATTTTTAATACAAACAATCCATCATCCATTAAACAGTGTGTCTTCTGGGTACAAATATCTTGTGCGATAACAATTAAAGTTTACAGCCATTAGTATTAATTTTCTACTCTTAATACTGATATACATATGTCTAATTATTATAACAATCCTCATCTTATTTAATTCTATTAATATATTTTCTATATTTCACTGGTCTTCTTTTGCTTCTAACTTTCATATTTATTCTCTAACCATGGATAGAATAATTCCCATGCCATATAATATTCAGTTTGTTCCTTCTCTTTAATCGCAACTGTTAACCTATTCATTTCTGCACATTCTAATGTTTTCCTAATCACAGTCTCTTCAGTAGGGATCTCTCCATTTTCCCAGTTTTGTGCAAATACAATTCTAGCTGTGGTTAATACGTGGACAATCAAGTATACATTCTCTTTGCTATAAATGTCAGGTAAAATCCCCAACAAGGATATTTGAGGTTTTAAATCAATGTGCTGCTGTATCCTCTTTTCCAACCCTGCATTTTTGTCCATTATATTTTGGCTTCTACACAGGTCTACCACATATGATAATATGATCCAGGTATCTGGCTCTTGGCTCACATGGGCTTTTATGTCACGGCCCCCCAGGCACTCACCTGTTGGTGGGTAAGGCGGAGCCTCATAGGAGAGGTGAGCCCGAGGATCCTGGAAATACGGAAGGCCCTCCGAGGGAGCTGGGTAGATGGGCAGGCGGGCGGTGAAAGGGCTGGGTTTGGGGGCGAGGAGGCTGATCTCACTGCCCGAAAGGGCAGGGGAGGGAGGGAGGGGAGGGGGAGGAGGGACAGGGCCTGCTGAGGTAGCTGCGGTCTGGTTCACAGGCGTTTTCGGAGAGGAGCCGGTTTGACTGCAAGAATCAGAAAGGTTAACTTAGGGCTGCTGCTGCCGCCGTCTGCATTCAAAAGGGGCAGGATGAGCAAGATCCGAGCAGAAGGGCCTGTTAGGAATGACAGTCACCTAACAGTTGGGTTGGCAATATATAAACCAGGATAGTAATTTAATACTGTATCTTTAAGAGAATGCTGTCATTGTGATTGGCTGAGGTTCTTCCAACGGCCCTAAGATGGAGCCAGAAACCTGGTTTCTTTCTCCTTGCATTTCCTGTTTTGCCATACTGCCTGATCGTCGTTCTGTTGGATTGCTGTGAGTCTTGCAACTGTTAGCAAACTCTGTTTACTGAACTCTGTTTAGGATACTTGACTTCGTTTTTGGATTATCCCTGGACTGATACTAACCGCTTTAACCGTGTATGATTTGGACTGTTTGTTGGACTTTGTTTACCCGTTTACTGGAAGTAAAACCTACATTTTACTGTTCAGTTTATCTGTATGCTGGTTGTGTGTTATTCAACATCACTCTCACTACGTTTCCCCGAGTGCATTCATTCTTCTAACGGGGAATACCTCAACAGGGCCAACCCAGAGAAGGAGGAAGCCAGGGGTGGGCTTCAAACATTTTAGTAACGGGTTCTCTGCCTGGTTGCTGGGTGGGTGTGCCCTAGTTGGCTTCCTGAACCATGAAGGGGGGGAGGGGGCGTTTTTGCCTTCCCTGGGCTCCTTGAGCCTCCGGGAGGATGAAAACGGCTTCCCCAGGCTCCGGAGACCCATTTTTCGCCCTCCCCAACAGTGGTAGGATCCAAATTTTTTTACTACCTGTTCTGTGGCCGTGGCTTGGTGGGTGTGGCTTGGTGGGCATGGCAGGGGAAGGATGCTGTAAAACCCCATTCCCTCCCCAACCCCACTAACCTGCTTTCCAGCTCCATTTTCCTGTGCAGGGCAACCAAAGGAGACCCAGCCGATCAGCTAGGACTCGATGGGAGGCAGAGAAGAGGTGGGGTTGGCGGGGCCAGTCAGAGGCGGGATTGGCCGGTTCTCCGAACCACTCAAAATTTCTGCTACCGGTTCTCCAGAACTGGTTAGAACCTGCTGAAGACCCACCTCTGCTCCACACGGGCCCTGCACTTGCCGGGCATCCAAAATGGGCCATGTGGGGATTCTTGGGAGGGGCAGGATGCGGTGGGCAGGGCCAGCCAGAGGTCGGATTTTCCAGAAATTAAAAAATGATAAAATTGGTGGGGGGACCCCAGAACTTACTGTTCAGGCAGAGGCTCGTTGGGAGACAAAATCGGGTTCTGGCTGTTCGCCACGGCCTTCCCTCCTTTCTTCACGTGCTCCAGAGTCCGTAACGAAGGGCTGTTCATACAACGGGGAATCAGCTGGGGGCCGCCGCTCTCTGGGCTGGGACTCCTGTTGGTGCTGGACGAGGCCTTTCCTGCCGGGTCCATGTTCCCTATGATGGGAAGGACATTCCCCACGGTGGCAGGGAGGGGGCTTGAGAGGCTGGCTTTCCCAAGCAGAGGGAAGGGTCTCACGGGGGCGGCACTGATTTTCTTGTTTCTTAGCCGATACCTGCAG